CCCTCCCTCCCTCCCTCCCTCCCTCCCAAGACCATGGAAAGTGGCAGTTACCACCTGTCACCCACACAAACCTAAGAATACTAATAGTTGCCTATTTGAAATGACCAACATGATAATTGAAGGGAACCAGTCTTCCTCTGCCCTATGAGGATTGCTGCCTCCCTACATCATTCAAGGGATCTAGATTAACCTGAGATTTGGAGAGGAAGTGGAAAATTTAGGATATAGGATGACAGTTTGGATTTGTGACACAGTTTCTCAAGAGAAATGGGATTAATTCTCAAGAGATCCTTTTTTCAAGGTTGTCATTTCACTTTTTTTCAGGATTAGTCCTGAATGAAGAAAAAAATAGAATTGACACAGAACTTTTGTGCACTTTGAAAAGTTCAAGGGCCATCACAAATGTAATGGATTCTGCCTTTTTATTATAAACCTCTGCGTTAGGACTTTTCCCAAGTTATTCTTGCACAGGGAACAGACAGTAGTTCTTATATGCTGAATATGATTCAGAGAACATCATCTTACTCTTCGTCTGAATTCCCCCCAAGATCAGAATCTTCTCTGCACAGTACTGAATTACAGGAAATTACAATTTTCCCTTTCTTCTTCAACTATGGGAGTAAGAATGGTTGCTTTATCTAGTGTCATTGACCATAATAATTTCCAAAAGTCTGTCTTCTCCCCTTTGTCATACTGAAGAAATCAAAGCAGTTTACCACTGGCCTATATTTTCGAAGACTGGGCAATTCTGTTCTACAGCACTGGGGCACATATTATTTTCTTAAGGAAAAAACGTCTTTGCCTTAAGTATACAAACCAAGCAAGCTACCTACTATGAAACTAAATCTGCCCATTCCACTACATGAATAGGAAGGAAGACCACTACTGGTGCTGACTTGGGGTTAGCTGTATTTTAAGAAAGCACTTTGGAGGGTTTTCTGACAGCCCCCCCCCCCAATACACACAATATTTCCCTGGAGTCTCTCCAGGGATTGTTAAGGTGTCAGGTCTCTGCACAGAACTATCCTAGTGAGTTCAGTACAACTGCTTATTAGTACAACTGCCTCTGAGTCATCACTTACTCTTGCTAGCCACTAGAAAAAGAAGTGATGCTGATAACTCATATAGTCACATTTCCACTTACACTTAAGAGAAAGCCATTGCTCAGCTGACAATCCTTCTCATAAAGAAAGCTCATTCAATATTTTCAGTGGAGACGAAGATAAATGCAAAGCCAGAAGGAAAGAAATATGGAAATTACAAAAACACAGCACAGTATTCTTTCCTCAGTTGGTTTCTTCTGGGATTTGTCCTGGGATTCTGAATCCCATAGCAGTCTGGTCCAACGTGTTCCTGGGGCTGGAATTAACATAGCTGGAATGGGTCTCTATTGTGCAACTAGTCCTCTGGAGGAACTGGAGGAAATTCTCATGGATAGAACCTTCTGGGCTGGAGATACAAAAGTCCTGGTTCAGAGGCTTGCTGAGGCAGTGTCGTCCCATCTTGGCCAGCTCTTCCCTGATTTGGCGGTTTAGCAATCCATAGAAGAAAGGGTTGATCGCGAAGGAAGAATAAGCTAGCCAAGTCACAACTATTTCAATAGAATCAGGGACTGAAGAGGCAGAGTTAAAGGAGCAGTGGAGGTGGAAGGAGAAAAATGGAAGCCAGCAGCAGAGAAACTGGCCTACAATCAGCACCAAGGTCAGGGCTGCTTTATTCCCACCAAAAAATCGTTCAGGAGACAGTCTAGGAGGCATATTCCTGGTAGTGATGATGGTAACTTGGCTGTGAATAGACTCTGACCTTTGTCTGGGTGCAGCTGTCCAGGATGGGACAGGAATGTGTTGCAAGGATGCAATGCGGGCCACTTTGTAGATGCTACCATATACTGCAAAGATAATTAAAGTAGGCAGTATGAAGCAGAGAATGCTGAAGATTATCACAAAAATCTTCTTGTGGGCTCCAGGACTCCAATTGACAGTACATTTACTGGCACTGCTAGCACCATTGTCTTGGGGCCAGCCTACTAGTGCCAGAGCAGCAACCAGCATAGACTTAATCCAGATGAAAACCACAACAGTAATGGCCAGCCCAGTAGTCATCTTAACTTCATATCTCATGGGGTGGACAATGTAGTAGTAACGTTCAATGCTGATAACAGAGATGGTGAGAATGGAAGCACTAATGAAACAAACATTCAAGAAGATCAGTGTCTGACATTCAGCAATGCTATACAAAATTCTGTTGAAACATGTGGAACTGGAGATAATCCCCAGTGGCATGATGAAAATGGCTGACAACAGATCTACAAAGCAAAGATGGCAGACAAAGATGAACTTTCTCAGTAGAGGTGTTTTGAGAATAACAACCAGGACTGCTGTGTTGGCAACCAAGGCAATGACACTCAGCATAACCATGAAGAAAACACCAATGGCCTCCTGGAACTGGGATACTCCAAAGGCATCAAGTCCATGTGTAGAGTTAATCCTAGTTCTGTTTACCATCATTCCTAGGAAGTCTATTTCTAGGCCACTTGGGCTTTAACAACAAGAAGTGCCAGGGGGTGCCTAGGGTGCATGTCTCTTTTTTTGGTATCTCTCAATTCCTGAAAAGAGAAAAGAGAAAAACAATTAGTAACAAAATAATAAGTTAGAATGAAATGGAATTTCATTGCCTTCAGGGAGATATGTTGATTCCACCACACAGAGGCTCTAATAGGCTACAGACTGGGAAGATGAGAAACATCCTCACAGAAGGCAATGGAAACCACTGTAGAGGTAAACAGATGTGGCTTTGAAAGAGGAATTCAACAACTGTCATGTAAACTTCACGTTAGCCCAGATAGACAGGAAGGGGTGAGGAAAAAACTCAAGATTGCCCCCACCTTGATTCTCTTCAAGTATAAAAGGCAAGAATGAACATCTTTGTCTGGCTTTCATAATCCCGTCATTATACCCTATAACAATAGAGTTCCAATACTTCATGCACAGTCTATTTCCTGACTTCGTCTACCTTGACGGGCTGAACCATTTCTGTACTCTTGCTAAGAAAACCACACCCATCCATATAATACAGAGGCTAGGTTTTCACTACACATTAGGCTGAATGATGGATAGTTTGTGGTTTAGTCTATTGTGTTGAACCAGTTCTTTGTGAGTAACTTGTGTGACCAAGCCATCATGTGAAATAGTTAAATGTGGTTTATTTGCTTCAATATTGCACCACAGCAACTGTTAGATTACCTCAGCCATAGAAAACAGTAAGATAGTGCCGAAGGGACAGATCCCTTAGTTCTCCTTTAGGAAGTTAGCTAAAAGAAGGTAATTAGAAAATGTGGATTATGGATTTCTGTTAGGGCCCAACAATTTCCCTCTATTATTGAAGCACTAGGCTATTTGTTACTATAATTACTGCATCAGCTGTGACTTTCTCCTTTCTGATCAATGATAATTGAGGCAACAAAAACCATTCTTTTCAGACACTTACTGTGTAATAAGACGCATGACTGCTAAGAAGTTCTACTCACTGTGTTCAGTAATTTATTCCCAGATTACTATTTGCTGTCCTCAGCCAGCTATATATATTGACATTCTGAATTAGTATAGAAAACTATACAGCAAATGTAGCACTGGATGCTTTATTTCATTTTAAAAACAAGCTTCTAGCCCACATGACTAAATAAGAAACCAATCTGTAGGAAATATCTAATGAAATTCAAAATCCATCTGTAGTTTTTTCAGGAGTTCAAAGTTGAATTTCAGCTCTATGTCCTTCCCAGGATAAACACAGGCAACACAAGCTACTATTAGCAAAGTCAAGGGTAGCCCCTAGGACTCATTTTTGCCACTTTTCTGCTGTAACTACAAGAAAAATTCTAATTGATTTCCTACAGTAACAAGAATAGGGCACTTTATTTGTGTTCTACACCAGTGAGTGTAACATAGCTCTAGTGAATAAGAAAGTTCATTTCAGACAAGGACCTTTCTGAAGTTGCTATAACTCTTCAATTAGCTTCACTGTATTACTGCTCATTTTTAAATTGATCTTTTAATTAGTGCTAAAATGCTGGTCATATATATGCATGAAATATAATGTTATAACACTATAATACTATAATGATAGCTTTAAAAATGATGGGAAAAATTACCTGGAAACATCAATGGCAGCAATCAGGAATGGTTTCGAAAATTAATTTCTAAAAAGGCTTTCCTTTGAAGCATGACCTCCATAGCGAAATAATAAGTGTATTTCCCTAAAATGCATATAGCTATATTAGGAGGATATAGTGGTGCCCTTTGCATTGATCGTTGACTCTGTGGTGACCTGTGAGAGACTTGCCATGCCATCCATCACTGTCCACGTCAAAATCTGGCCTTTTAAAAAACCAGAAACACTGCTCCACTTGAGGCAGCAGCAGCATTGCTCTTTTAGGGACAAAAAACTCCAAATGTTGCATGGTGGTATTTGGTATTTATGTGCTAAAAAGGAAGGAACAGCGTATTGCAATTGCATACTTAAAGGCCCAATGAGCACATGTCACTTGCCCTGAGCACATCACCAAATAAATACATTATTCCAAAATAAACTCTAAACAGCAGCCTTGAGGACATCAGCAAAGAAGAAGAACAAAGGCATTTGGGTGATTATCATTTATCATTTTCTCTGCAAACGTGGCTTGGATTTAGCAAGAAAAGTCCTTGAGGAACACCACAGGGCCACAGCCTCATTCTTCTTCTCTAACTAGTTAACTAGGAAAGTTTCTTTTTTCAATCAATGAGACTGTCTTAAAAAGGTTCTAGTTCGCTCTGATCCTGGCAATCTCTTAAACAGAACTTTCTTTTCAGTTTATTTATGTTCTACGTAAACGTTTTCTATTTTGATCAGGTTCTTTTGTGCAGATGCTAACCTAGTCTGATTCCCACACAGTCCCCCCACCCCCATGTTTGGAGGTACAAACTTCAGGTTTGCAGGTGAACAGGTTTTTCAGGTGGAGGGTGGAGTCTGCAATGGTAAGATTCAGAGGAACTTTGCTGGATTATCTGGCAAATTTCATTCCTAATAAAGGATTAAAGAACTCTCCTCCCATCTGGGAGCCAGGAGAAAACTAAACTGGCATATATGCTCCCATCGCTTCTTTTGTGGTTTCAAGGGGAAGAACAGTGTCTTCTGGAGTTCAAGGCAGTGTTCATAGCATGTTCTCCTTCAATTTTTCATACAATGATCACCCTGTTAGATAAACTGAACGAAAAGATAATGACTGGCCCCAAAGCACTTAGTGAGCTTCCAAGGTAGAGGATTAATTTAAACCTGTGCCTTCCCAATTTGTCTTCAATATTTTTTTTCCGTTCCTGCAATTGTTCTCCTTTCACTGTCATTTTGTTCACTGCTTTTCTTTTTTCCAAGTCTATTTTTCCAAAGTTCTACTCTTGACACCACCCAAAATTGTGTGTCCCATATTCAGAACCTCTCATCATCCTTATATCCTTCAGTAATGCTGTCAATCTTTCATCATAATATCAATCATGCTTTCAGGTTTACATTCATTCCTTTACCATTTGCATGGATGAATAGTCTTATACTTTATCATAGCCACGAGAATGTCTATTCTTTCTGTCTTTCATTTCACTTGTTAATTCATGCTCTTTACCATTTACTCCTCTTCTGTCCCAAGGCCAATCTTCCATACGCCATGCTCATGTCAGATCATAGATATTCACTGCCCTTCCTGGCTTTGGTCAAGCAAGACTTCCACATAACACTTTTTATTAGGATAGGGACGGTGTGGACTAGGCTACCAGCCAAGGTTATATCCCTTTCTCTTCTAATAGTAAGGAGAGTCAATATCAGTTTTGGCACTTTGGGGCCAAATTGGTACAAGCACAACCAAAGCCCAGTTTTATTCCAACCATGTTCAATATTATTTTAGGCAAGTTAAGATATCTAATCCAGAAACTACCTTGCAAAGCAACATAATGTTGTTCTACATATGCTATGTACTAACATATTCAGGATGCTTCATAATATTATTTATTAAATTTGCATTCTGCCTTTCTATATAGCTGATACTCAAGTAGCTTTCAGCAGTTAAAAATACAAAGTATAAAACAAGAATAAAAGCAATATAATTAAAATCAAGATAAATTTAATATCGGTATCATTAAAATCAAATTCAATTCAAATATGAATTAAAAGCTTATTGAAAGAAATGGGTTTTCACTGTTTCCCTAAATGCAAGAAGAAGGGTGGACATATGCTCCACCTTGCAGAAAAACTGGGGGCCATACAGGAGAAGGCCCTCTCCCACATGAGTGGGGGTGCAATGAATCTCTGTTGTCAGGGGAGCTTCAAAAGGACCTTTCCTGATGCTCTAAGTAACAGGGCACTCACAATAGTGGGAGTGTTGATCCCAGCTTTAACAGTCAACCTTAAGTTGTGCCCAGTAGGCAACTGGCAACCATAGCAGATCTCTTAGTACAGGCATCATGTGATCTCTATACTTTCTACAAGTGCACAAACTGCAATTTCTGGACAGTTTTCAAGGACATAAAACACCTTGCAGGAGACAAGAAAAGATGTAGGCAAGGTGTGATAACTGCCACTAAGTCTGACCAGCTCTGGAAGAGTTGTAATTGGTGCACTAACTATAGTTATGTAAACAATTACTCATCACAGCTATCATTTGCAAGTCTAGTGACAGCTGGGAGTCAAGGAACATTTCCAACCCATGAACTCGCTCTTTCTAGAAGAGAGCAATCCCATCTAAAATAGGATTCTTCTTTGAGTCTCGCTTTCTCCTTGTTTGTCTGAATTTCAGGTTATTTTCCCTTGTGCAGCCCATTAACAGATTCAAACAATGTTCAAGGTTTAATTAGGAGCAATAGAGCTAGGTGTCATTAGTTACTGATGACACCCCATTCTCAATCCTAAAATGACCTCCCGCAGCAGATTCATATACATGTTAAACAATGTAGGGGACAAATTAAAACTCTAACACAGAACAACCTAGGTTTCAAACAGTAGACCCTGAGCTCACCTTTGGGATGCGTGCTGACAGGAAGGTCCAGAACTGCTGGAAAACAGTACCTCCAAGGCCCAATCCACCAGATGGTCCAGAAGAATACAATAGTTGACAGTATCAAAAACCTGCCAAAAGGGTCAGGAGAAATAGCAGGGTTGCACTCCTATAATCTAGTTGTAGGTCATCACCAAAGGTAACCAAACAATCCCAGTACCATGTTCTAGGTACTCTGATTGAAATGTAGCCAGATAATTAGTTCCATCCACATATAACTAGACTTGAGGGTTACCACCTCCTTGATCACTTTTCCAGGAATGAAAGAGACTAGCCTTTCATTGCATAGATCTTATAGGTCCAGATGCAGCTTTTTCAATAAATATAATTCAACTGCTTCCTTTAAGCCAATGGGAACACTTCCCTCACCCAAAGAGGCATTAATCAAACCCTGTGACAATGGGGCCAGGCCTGACTTGGCTGATTTAATCA